GCCTGTAAAATATGAAGCTTAAAGCCATCATCAACTATGTAGCATTTGAGAGCAGTCTAGACTACATGAGACCCTGTCTCAATAATTAGTCATTCTTTGCATTGGCCTACATAATAGCAGTCTGGGCAGTTCAACAGTAGTTTTTTCACTCTACCCTGGTAGTTGCTTACTTCAAGAATTTGGAAGCTTTAGAGCAAGGAGGACCAATGCTTCTCATCCCAGGCAAGGCAGGAAGCTTGGAAACTTGGAAGCTCCCTAGAGTGCTGTTGCTGGGTCTTTGTTGAAAAGCTAAAGGAGCCTTAATGGCAGCAATGAACTCAAAAATTGGCTCACAAAGAGCGGGAGGAGCTTCTGGCACACAGATGACTTTGTCTGAGCATGTTTTCTCCTGGTAGGCTCCCAGCCCACTGGATGGTGCTGCCCACACCACCTTCAGTTGCTTCTCCATATGCCAATCTTCTCTGGAAACATCATCATGGGCATAAACAGAAGTGTGCTCTACTAATCTCTTAGGTATCTCCCAATCTAGTCAGGTTGAAAATTAAAACTAATCATAATAGAACATAGATTAGGAAAAAAATCTATATTTCACCCACCCAGTGATAACCACATTTGATTAGGGCACAATAATGCTCTTCCTTCCCCCCAGTGCTAGGTACTAATTCCTGGGATCTGTGACTTTGTTAGATAAATACTGCAATCAGAATGAAGATCACTAATTAGATTCCCCTTGATCGTGTAATGGACTGAATGTAGTCACAATAAGGGAGAAGTAGGAAAAACCCCAGAGAGATGGTGGCATAAGAAGACTATTTTTGCTGTGGACCATGACCCAGGGAACACAAGTTGCCTCTACAAACTACATAAAGGAAAGAAACAAATTCTCATCTTGTATCTTCGAGACAGGAATTCATTTCACCAGCAGTTTGACTTCAGTCCTGGAAGACTGTCCTGGATTTCTGATACACAGGACCATCCCAGCGATGATAGACTAGTGATGCTTTCAATCATTCAGTTTGTGGAAATTTGTTACATCAGTAATAAAAGCTAATGCATCCTCTCTTGGCCATGGAGAGTGCATTCTCCAACCACTCAGTGTAAGGACACATTTCCCATCCTGCCTCATGTCAGTGCAGTAATCGATCTGACAAAATGTGTTCCTGTTATAAACACTAGCATGTGTGTCCAGCATTTATGGCCAGCTGGGTATCATCAGTCAGTCACTGCCCAGTAAATAACTATCGACTCCAGCACTTCAGACATCTCTGGACACCATGTCTGTTTTGGAGCTCCCTTATATTTGTCCTTATTTTTCCATTTCATAAGTTATTTGTGCTTGCCTCTCCACAGGGTACTGTTTCAAAGTTTATTGTGTAATAGTTTATCTCCTCTAGACTCAGTGACTTAGGAGACGGCCACTCCCCTTTCTGTCTGTCATTCTGAGTTTTAATTGTGTAGTGTGTTGCTGTCAATGTTTTTTTTTGTATTCTAAATCTATTTGACTCTGTGCTTCCATGTAGACCAAGGGGAGTATTTGTTTCCTAGCCTTCTGGAAGTTTCCTTAACTTCTTTCCCTGCTCAGCAAAACAATTGCTAGTACCCCCCCCCCCACACACACATACCATGTGTGTTTTTAGGGTGTTATCTGTGACAATGTTTCTCAATTTTGCTTTGACTGAAGAGAGACACATGTTCTCCAGGAGACAATCTGGAGCTCACCAAAGTTATGACTTTATACACATTATTACTTAGGGACAGAGTCAGGATTTAGGTGAAAAAAAGCAGTAACTTAGGGTGGGGCTATCAAGCCGCGCTGTTAGCAGTGACACACATGACCAAAACCGATGGCCGGTCAGCCATGTAGACTACACGTGGGACACAGAGAGGGAAGGGCAATCATGACTGCCTACACCCAGCTTTTGGGGTCTGGGAGTAAAACAGATTAGTGATTCAGTTTTGTGACCTTTAGATAACATATCTGGGCACTTTCAGGAGGTCATGTCCTAGTCTGTCTTGACATTTATTCTCTTATGATTTTCATCTGCCAATAAAAGGATTGCAAAGGGAGCCATCGGTTCCTTCTCTCTTCTCTCTTCCTTTCCTTCAGAGTTTTGCAGCATTGGGCAGAGCCGCAGGGGGCAGAGCCGCAGGGGGCAGAACTTCCTGAGCTCAGCAGTGCCTTGAGCAGCAGTGGGCGGAGCAGTAGTGGGTAGAGCTTCCTGAGGTTTAAGTTAGGTTTTACTGTTTTTTTTTTTCCCCTTTCATTCTTTCCCTAGTCCCAGGAGCAGTTTTGAGTTACCCTCAGCAGTGTCCCTGTCACAGGGACATGCTTCATCATGTTTTCTTCCTTTCTCTCACAAATTGGGAAATGCCGAGGGGATTTCCCTATGTCCTTTATTTTGTCTGCATCCTTGTCTGGTGTGCACTTGGATTTGGATTTATGTAAGTGGTATGTGGCCCAGATCCTACTGTGACTTCCTTTCTCCCAATGCTGGCTTCCCCTCTCCGTTCTCATCTGCGACTGGCTGAGTATCTAATTTGCTGTGTCTGCAACACAATGACCCATAGCTTTCCTCCCTCCTTTTCTTACCCATCTTCCAAAGTAATAGACTTCACAAAGTCATTCTGTTCTGTGAGCCAGCATGATGTGGAGCCTGTTTGTGTCTGAGAGAGAAGCTCAGGTTTAACCGAGGAGAACTAGAGAGCCACGATGTCGATAGCACTGGCACGCAATGGCAGCTGAGATCTGTAGAAGCAGGACACCGACAGGGAATGCTCTGCTGAGGTTTTCTAAGTGCCAAAGTTGATTAAGAAGTGTTTGATCTGAGCTTCAAAAAACAAAAAGCATATTAATGTTTTACCTACATGTATGTCTGTATATCACATGCATGCCTGGTGCCCTCAATGGCCAAAAGAAGGCATTGGATCTCCTACAGGTAGAGTTATAGATGGTTGTAAGTGAGTGATGGAAATTGAATCCCTATCCCCTGGAGAAGAGGGGACTGAGCCCTCTCTTCAGCAGGCTGAAGTGGCATAAATGGGACTATGCACATTTAAATGTGACACATTTAAAACCTCAGATGAAGTTTCACACCTGTGCATAGCCAGATGAGCAGACAGCAACGAGAGACTGGTTGGTATATGCCGACAGAGAAGAGCAGGTACTGAGGTCAAATGGAAGATACACGGTCTAGTTAGAGGAGCTCATTCTGGCCAATATTTGCTAGGTGGGAGACCCAGGTGGCCAAAATCTTTTTGATTTTCTTATTTTCATGGGAAATCTGTGCCAGGCAGCTAGCCAGCAAACCAACAAACAAATAAGCAACTCAAACACATTCATAGAATGGATATATTCCTGGGGTCATGCCATCTTTTACTGTGAAGTGAGGAGGGAATTTCCACTTTGGGACTGCATAAAGACTTGTTGGGACACAATTTTCTTTCCTAGTTAATTTGCATGTACCCAGGAGACCAAAGAATTTTGTGCAAAGAGACTTCCTACATTAGTACCTGATGCCTGCATCAGTGTGAAGGCGAAGGTGTCCTGTGCTCTTGGGGGGCTATGCATAGTTGTCACAGCTGCATGCTCAGAGGACAGGGACTGCACACTATCTGGTCACTTCTCTATACTCAGGGTGTTTTGTGGTCCAGCTGCACACATGGATAATAACAACTGTGAGACTGTATGCTAGGTATAAGTAAATCCTTACCCTGTACCTCAGACTGCAAGGACCAAAACTTCAAGGAATCTCTACTTTCCCTGTGGCTAGGTATATCCTGGGTGTCCTTAAATGCTCCGAGTGGTGAAAGGATGTCTTGGGCAGTCAAGGTATTTCCTAGGTCTCTGTGGGAAGTCATGCCCCAGTGGCAGTCAGTGATGAGGGGAGGATTTCAAAAGATCTCACATGTGCCTCTGGGTAACATAAAAAGTTTGTTCCTTCAGGCATGCAGATTGGATCTTAAGTAGCCATTTCTGATTGGTTGATGCTAATTGCATGTGGAGATTAATTAGAAAATTAAGGTGTGATGGGTGTGCAGTGCCAGCCATGAAACTGGAGCCACGGCCACACACTGGCTATCATTTCACCACCTTGTTTATTATTTGCTAAATTACAAGTGAAAATCAATGCTCAAAGCCTGGGGTGATGGTTAACATGATTTAAAGATGAAAGAACTGTTAAAAGAGCCCAGAGCCTGAAAAGTTCTCTGAGTCCCAAAATGCATGATTTGAAACCAAATTGTTCCCTAGCAACTTCTAAAAAATTAAAAATTTGCTTTTGTTTTTCCTCAATCTGCTTCTCTAAGCTCAACAACAGAAGTGTATGTGTGCTGTTGTTTGTGTATGTCTTTGTGTGTGTGTGTATGTGTAGTGTGTGTGGTATGTGTGGCATATGGTATATATGTGTGAGGTGTGTGTGTGTGTGTGTGTGTGTGTGTGTGTGTGGTGTTGGTGATTTCAGACACTGATTAATGCCCTCTGTAAACTCAATTTACCTGACTGTCTTAGCTGTGCTGTGTGTCAAATCTGTGGACAGATGCCCTTCAGGTAGGGGACAGAAATGAAATGACAGAGACTTAACGTAGAAACACAGAGCTTCTGGCATGCATTTGAGATGCTTTCCTGAGAAATTCTTCTGTTTTAGGTCTTGCTATTGGGATTTCTTGATTTAGTAATGTCAGGGTTAAGCCAATGGGAGACAGAGAGTCAAGGTCAACTATACAGCAGTTGACAGTGCTGAACTCACACTCCATGCTGGAGAAGTCTGCCCAGCGCTCTGGCTGCAGAACTTCACAAAGTCCTGTAGGGAAGATGTCATATTGACATGGTCATGTTGGAACCAGCACCAGAGATGACAGACTCCAGGTGTAGATGGTGAAGTGACAGGATTGGTAGGCACCGTCTGCCTGATATGAGTACCTCATTCACTGGATCTGATCAATACTTCAGAGCTCCTGTCAAGAGTGAACACAGTTTCTCTGTATTGTGTCCTAGCTGTCCTGTGCTCACTTTGGCAGCACATACACTAAAATTGGAACAATACAGAGATTAGCATGGCCCCTATGCAAGAGCGAACACAGTTTTAATGACAACTGTTTGTATTAATTGATGATCTCATGTATTTATTATTTAACAGCAAGTTATTGAGGCCTTTAAAAATGTCAGGCACCATGCTGTGTGTTGGGAATTCATTAGGGAAAAAGGCAGGCGTGTTGCCTGGAGGTTGTTGCTTAATAGAGAAACCAGGCAGAAAGTGAACAAGAAGGAAATGCGTTTCCGGGCCATTTTCAACTGTGATAGAGGCATGAGGAAGAGACGGGAAGACAAGAATGTCAGAGCAAACCTCTTGCAGGAGAGAGCTTGTAGGCAGAGGCAAAAGAAAAACCTGGCAAGGGATCAAAGGGAACCAGATGAAATGTCAGGTGTGTGCGTGTGTGTGTGTGTGTGTGTTCTTATACATGTATACTTGTGTAGAGGTCAGAGGTCAGCCTGTTGCTTGAGACAGGGTCTTTCATCAGTCTAGAGTTGGATAAATAAACTATGCTGACTGGCTAGTGAGCCCAAGGGATCTGCCTGTCTCTGGTGTCTGAGCACCAGGATTTTGAGTGTGCCACCATGTCTGGCTTATTTATTTGTTTTTTTACATGGCTCTGGGGATTGAAGTGTTTGATGTGATTTTCAGTTGTTCAGTGGTGTCACATGTTTGCTAAATATGAAGCCACGCTACAGATTGATCCACATAGAGCTTGCCAATTAGTTGTCTGAAAAATGGGGGAGTGCTTATTTACTAACTGCATGCCTTTTACCTTCCTAAAGAATCCAAGCATCATGTAGGAAACAAAAGCTTCATTTATTTGTGTGTGTGTGTGTGTGTGTGTGTGTGTGTTTGTGCAAGGAGATCAGAGGATAACTTGCAGGAGTCAGCTCTCTTCTTCTCTATAGAATATCAAACTTAGGTAATCAGGTTTGGTGACAAGTCACCTTATTTGCTGATACATCCTGGTGACCTGGTGTGTGTGTGTGTGTGTGTGTGTGTGTGTGTGTGTGTGTAATAATTGCACCTTTTTCTTTTCACCATGATTTTCCAGAAAGCAACCTTCTCTGTTTGTTTTTCTTGCAAGAATCAAAGACTTATTGCAGACTTATGGGAGCCTCAGCAAAAGGAAGATCCTGAGTCTAAGGAGAGAGAGCTTCATTGGGAGGAGGACTGGAGGCAGAGAGCAGCATTGTGGGGAGGACTGGAGGCAGAGAGCAGCACTGTGGGGAGGACTGGAGGCAGAGAGCAGCATTGTGGGGAGGACTGGAGGCAGAGAGCAGCACTGTGGGGAGGACTGGAGGCAGAGAGCAGCATTGTGGGGAGGACTGGAGGCAGAGAGCTTCATCGTGGGGAGGACTGGAGGCAGAGAGCTTCATCGTGGGGAGGACTGGCGGCAGAGGGCTGCTATGCCCGTTGCTATGGATCTACTTTTAGGAGCTATCTAGACTCACCTCTCTTTTTTTCTGGAAATCATCAACTCTGTCCCATCGTGTGATCATGGCACTCATACTGAAGGCCCAAACATGTGGGAACCAAGATCCTCTGATGAGGACAAGTACTCATGAGATCTTGTCCCTCTGTCTCACCCCTCAGATATACCTTTCTGTAACCTGGATGTCATCATTCATATTTCTTATTATTTTAAAGATTTATTTATTTTTTAATGTGTGTGTGTGTGTGTGTGTGTGTGTGTGTGTGTGTGTGTGTGTGTGTATAGGGCAGGGTATTGAATCTCCTAGAGCTGGAGTTACAGGAAGTTGTGAGCCATCCAGTGTGGGTGCTGGTGACCAAACCTTGGTCCTCTGGAAGAACAGCACATGCTTTTTAACTGTTAAGCTACTGCCCCGCCCCTTTCTGTATTTTTTAGTGTTTCTGTTTTGTAGTCTGTGTCAATGCCCTTTTCAAATATATAGATATGTTCATTACTCATAGTTGTTATGTTCTATGAAGTCTCCATGAACACTAAGAAAGTGCCAAACCTTTGTCCCTAGGGAAATACAGACTAGGTTCCCAAAGCACGTAGCCAGCAGTCCATTAACACATAGCTTAAAAAAGTGTATGTTTCTGTATAAGATACACTCTTTACTATTTTTTTCTTTTGTACATATTTCCTCCATATTGAAACATTCCCTTCTGGAGCAAAGGAGGAGGCTCATAAGATGTAAGTGAATTTACCAAGCTCAAGAGGCTCATGAAACTTACAGGATTCACAAGGCCCCTCCCCAAGCTCATAAGAGCAGTGAATAATGGCTGGGAGTGGAGACTGCTCAGTGGAGCTGCCTGTAAGCTGGACAGGGACTTCCAGGGATTCAACTGTCGTGAGCTCTAACCCAGGCTGGGATGGACTTTTTGGTGATGACGCTGCCTTTGAATCACCCACAGTAATCCTTGACCCATACTTCTGTAAATAACCCAACGGAGCCATTGGTTCACTAAACAAGTCTGGGATGGAATCATACATGGTCTGTTGTTGGTGCCCTACCTGGGGTGAGCAGGCATTTGTTCACATCTCCTCAGGAAGGCTCACACAACGATATTGTGAGCTCTCAGCTTACAACACCATAACATATACCCATGCAAAGCTTAGCTGACACATGCATTTTTCCCTTAGGATTCCCAGACAGCAGCTCAGCACTTCGCCATTTTGACAGTGAAATCTCACCCCAAAGTACAGCATGCAAAAAAACCGTGGCATTAAGTAGCCCTGAGAAGGACACTTGTTTACTGTAGGAGGGCTGAAGCAGGACATTGCCTTGTTCAACCTCAGCTTGGGAAATGCAGGGGGTGGCTCAAAGCTTTTGCTACTCTCCACCCGTGAATCACCATGAGAGTAGCCTATGTACGGATTTAGGAAGAAAGAGAATTTGCATATATGCACCCTGCAGATGACAGGTGTTGATGTGACTGTGGCTTGAGGGCAGGGACAGTGGCTCTTGGGAGAGATGCAGAGTGCACTGGATTCTGAGCCAGGAGCTGACCTACCATGGAGACCTACCCTGCACCCTGGTGTGATCACAGACAAGCCATTTCTACTCTGAGCCTTTCCCTTTCATGATGAGTGAAGGGGCATGACTTAAATTACATCTAGGATCCTTTACCTTCAATACAATTTGTTCTCTTCTCACACAGGAACCAAACTGGTGATATAGCAATTAGTGGTGTGTCCACATGCTGACCTGAGGTAGAAATAATCGCTTTTTTCTCTGTGTCAACAGTATGACACTAAATGTTCTCATGACAAGATCCAGAAGCTTCACATGAGAAGACTGCTTTTAAAGCTTTGACTTGCAAAGAAATGTCCTTAAATTGTGCAAAGAGTTGCATGACAAGCTGTAAAATCTTGCAACTCTGGAGTTTTTCCTAAGAGGAAGTTTTTGTTTTCATTTTTAAATGGTTCCAGGTTAGACATGTACAGAGTTGATAACAGGGTGTTCTCACTGAGCAGGTGAAATTGCAAGAATAACCCAGGAAGGTTTTCAGAGGGAAGTGAGCCCAGAGCAGAACTTTGCTGCTGCATTTGATGTGAAGATTGGGAATACCTGGAACATTGGTATAGTTCGTCCTGTGTGTGTGTGTACGTGTGTGTGCACGTGTGCGTGTGTGTGCGTGTGTGTGGAGACAGAGAGAGAGAGAGAGAGAGAGAGAGAGAGAGAGAGAGAGAGAGAGCAATCTTGGGTATTGGTCTTCCCTTTCCACCTAGTTTGAGACAGGCTCTCTGTTGCTTTTGCTCTGTAGGCTGGCTGGCTGGGAGCCAGTCTCCACCTCATATCCACCCAAGGAGATGCTGGCTGGGATTACAGGCGTGCAGCATGTGACTCTGCATGGGGCTGAGGATTCTTACTCAGGTCCTCACACCTGGGCGGCAAGAGCTCTTCTACCCAGTGAGATTCTTTCCAACTTCTAGCCAAAAAAACTTACATTACAAAAGGAAACGACCCATTAAATATTCATTAGGATACCATGGGCTAATTAAATAAGACACTCTGCCATGGGCTCTCCCTGTTTTTCCTTCCTAACCATGACAAGAGAAGTCACCAAAAGTGTAGATAGGAAGGTGACTTTTCCAGGTTAGAAGCCACTGATGGACATCCTGAAATGTACACTTTCTGCTTGTTTCTAATGAGCTTGACCCAGCTCCACACAGGGAGGGGAAGGGAATCCATCATGTGTTGGAATGCTTTGTTTTTTTTTTTTCCTCTCAAGCCAGAACCCAATTTGTCACTGCCAGATAAGAAGTGAAAAGGTCATCTTCTCACTTTGAAATTTCTGAATCATTTAATAGCTAATTTGTACTGCTAATTACTACCTTTCTCTTCTGTAATTATTTTGAATTATTGTCCTCCTGTTACTATTAATGGGCAGGCAGAAGACAATAAAACATGGCTCTAAGCGTCAATCGGTTAGCGTGGCAAATTGAGCCCCTTGGACATGGCAGACAAAAACTTGCTGTTTTGCTCAGTGTTTCTGGGTCTTTGGCAAAAACACATCAGCACCAGACCATTATTTGTAATTTTCTATCTAGAACCACTTTTCACTGATATTTGTTCAGTGACCTCCTCTTTGGCCAAGTACCAGGGATAAGTTAAGCGTGTTGCCCCTGCAATTTTACACACTCCTTGGTCCCCTAATATACAAGACTCATCTGTAGGCTTTGTTCATGATCCACAGCCCTATGCAAATCTACTTGCAAGTCCTGTGGCCAGAAGGTACAGGAGACACTGTGATCAAAATATGAGAATTCATTGAAATGACATCCTGAGATGATTTTTGATGGTATAATTCTTTGGTGAAGTTTCTGTGAACATAGTCAGGCTGCTTGTAAAGCATGCTGATGAGATTTTACAAGTTGACCTCAGACACCCAGCCACAATGATGGGGTGTGACAAATCCCAGCAGAGGTCTTGCTGTCCTTTATTTCTCTCCCAATAGACAGACTGTATTCTTTTCTTTAAACAAAAATCTCTTTGGTTTTTTAAGAGTGCCCTAAAAAGTGGTGCTGGAGTTACAGCCCAGGGGTTAGCATGAACATGTGCTGCTTCTACAGAGACTGGAGTTCAGGTCCCAGCACCC